CGGAAGAGTCTGCATTGTGTTTTGTGATGATAAGACGGTTCTTAAAACAGTATCAGAGTTTTCAGTTATAGATGCTTCCTTTGAGAAGTCTCATGTTTTGTGGGTTTTTTTGTGCTTTAGCACAAGTCACGAAAAAGTATGCACTGTAGGTTCCATAAAATGCAACAAATCAAGAGCAATGCTTTGTGTTTCCTTTTACTCGAAAGCCAAGGAGAAAAATGTGGAAAATACCTATGTTTAGTGAAATAGATGTAGGAATGTAAAGTATTAGGTAAATGGTACCTTGAATAGAACTAAAGTTTTTCACAGCAGGTCACTGAAATAGTAGAGAAGACATTACACCGGGGAAGAAATTTGCAAGGAAGCTGTGTGGCCATCACTGTCCACGTTCATGAGATTGTCACAGGGCACCTTGGTGCCCTGCTCTTAGACAGTGGAAACTGCCAGGGAGAGAGCCCTGGCAGGACATAACGAGCATAGCTGTGGGTTGCCCGGGGCAACCCGGAAGTCAGCTGACCAGAAGGGGCAGGGCCTGGCTCTCATAAAGCCCAGGGCTGAGGCCAGGCTGGTAGTTCCTGGCCAGCAGCCAGAGAGGCAGGAACTCTCTCAGCCATGACACTAGAAGCAGTGAGAATTGCAAGTACTGCTTGAGCAGAGTTACAGAAGGCAGCTCGGGAGGCTTGAGCCATGGTGTTAAGTTATAGCCAGGCGGCTTCAATTAGTGTTACAGCCTAGGGGCTTGTGGTTTTGCTTTGGCGCTGTTATTTATTACACCGGTGGTTTGGGCGAGGCTATTAGGGGTTGGAGGAGGCCTCGTAGGGACCCACAGGGGTGTGGGGCCCTAGCGCTAGTGAGGGTGCAGTATTCTCAGGGGGAACCCCCAGCGGTGTGGGAACCCTGGCGCCAGGGAGGGCGCAGCGTACTCATAAAGGGACCCACAGTGGCGTGGAGACCCAGGCGCCAGTGAGGGCGCAGTATTATTAGGAAGCCCAGTGTGGGCACAGCAAGCTCCAGAGAAAGGGAACTACTGAGCAGCCCAGTGCAGGCGCGGTGAGCCTCTGAAGAAGGGCTTAGCACTGCAGGAAACCCCGGAAAAGGGTGAAGTGCTGCGGTGAACCCCGGCGAGAGGGGGTAGTGTTGCAGTGAGCCCTGGGAGAAGGGGGTAGCAGTGCTGTGGGCCCGAGAGTCAGGGGGCGTAGCTGAGAAGTCCCCAGAGTGGGTGCGGAAGGCCCCAGGAAGGGAGCAACGTTGAGAAGCCTAAGCGTGGGTGCAGAGGGCCCCAGACAGAGGGGCGACGTTACAGGGAAGGCCCCAGAGAAGGGCGACATTACAGGGAGGCCCCGAGTGGGCTTGGAGAGCCCAAGAGGGGGCAGCACAACACAGGAGGCCCAGAGAGCGGGCGAGAGTACACAGGAGGCCCCAGAGAGTGGGCGAGTGCATAGAGGAGGCCCGAGAGACGGGCAGTGTACGTATAGAGAGACAGACCAACGTCCATCCCATCTGCGAGGCTTGGGGTGTGGTATCAGGGGTGGTTGGAGCCACGCATAGCCCATAAGGCTAGGGTGCCCCGAAGCACCCATTGGTGCTGGACAAGACCCACGAGGGGTCCAGGAGTCTACGTGTCCAAGAGGGCATAAGGCAGCCTCCCAACTGAACTTAAGATCAAAGACGTGGCGGGCAAGAATACAGGGTGCCCTTGGGCCGACTTGGCACGGAGAGGGGGCCTTAAGGAGATCACGGCCCTCCTGGAGGACCCTGCCGTGACAGAGATAGAAACCAATATTTCAGCCATTTTTACATGCTTTCTTTAGGGTTAGTGTGCTACCACTATTTGTACTTCTCTACCACCCGGCTGGGCTGGGTCATGGTGGCAGGACCCAGCGCAGCACACAGAGACCATGTGCTGGGCCCAGCCAGGTCCTGCCAGCCCTGGGGACTGTCTGTTGCCCAGCTGGGCCTTTGGTGGCAGACCCGATGCGCTGTGCGGGGACTGCATGCCACACCCGCTGGGTCCTGCCAGCCCTGGGGCTGCTCCTGCTGCCCGGCTGGGCGGCAGAGAGGCCCCAGGATCTGGCTGGGACTGGCGTGTGGTCCCCATGTGCTGTGCCAGGTCCTGCTACTAAGGGCCCAGCCTAGCTGGGCAACAGACAGTCCCCAGGGCCAGCTGGGCCCGGCACGTGGTCCCCGTGTGCTGTGCTGGGTCCTGCCACCATGACCTAGCCCAGCCGGGTGGCGGAGAGGCCCCAGGGCTGACAGGACCTGGCTGGGCCCAGCGTGCGCCGGGTCCTGCTGCTATGGCTTAGAGCGCCCCAGTTCCGCTGCTGCTAAAGATTAGTTATGGGCCCTGGGTAGGCAGGCTGTGGCCCTCCAGGGTGCCTGGGACCCTGGGCGGGAGGGCTGGGGCCCTGTGGGGGATAGGGGCTGTGGCCCTCCAGGGGGGAGCTAGGGCCCTGGGTAGGGGGGCATTCCATGTGCTGTTGGGGGGTGCTGCACCCTGTGGGGGCCCGGGGACCCACCCC